CGTATGCAAATCAATCCTTGCCCGTCCCGATTACTATAAATTACACTACGCTTGCCCGGATTTCGATGTCAAATAAAGCTAGGCTTGTCACTTAGAAAATTTTTGGCTGATCGAAAAAATTTTTTCGTCATAGATCAACTTAGAAAGGTTCAAAACGCATATTAACGGAGATAGGTTTGGCTCAGGGAAATTTTAAAGCGCATTTTCACATGGCTATCATAGCACTGAGCCGTATGCAAATCAATCCTTGCCCCGTCCCTTAATATAAATTACACTACGCTTGCCCGTTGCCCGGATTTCGGAGTCAAATAAATTTTTGGCTGACCGAAAAAAATTTTTCGTCATAGACCAACTTAGAAAGGTTCAAAACGCATATTAACGGAGATAGGTTTGGCTCAGGGGGAATTTTAAAGCACATTTTCACATGGCTATCATAGCACTGGGCCGTATGCAAATCAATCCTTGCCCGTCCCGATTACTATAAATTACACTACGCTTGCCCGTTGCACGGATTTCTGAGTCAAATAAATTTTTGGCTGACCGAAAAATTTTTTTCGTCATAGACCAACTTAGAAAGGTTAAATCGCATATTTAAAACGGAGATAGGTTTGGCTCAGGGGAATTTTGAAGCGCATTTTCACATGGCTATCATAGCACTGAAGCATTATGCAAATGATCCTTGGCCGTCCTTTTAATATAAATTACACTACGCTTCCCCGTTGCCCGGATTTCTGAGTCAAATAATTTTGGCTGATCAAAAAATTGTTTTCGTCATAGACCGTCTTAGAAAGGTACAAAACGCATAATGACGCAGAAAGTTTTGGCTCAGGAGAATTTTAAAGCAAACTTTAACATATAAACTTTCATACAGTATATACGTATGCAAATGATCCATAGCCGTGTTTTCTTATAGATTCCACTACGCTTAGGCGTCCAAAGTTTGACTTAGAAAATTTCGGGGAGATCCAAAAAATTTTTCCGATCTAGATCGACTGATGGGGAGCGATTTAGAAACTTTTTTGAAAAATAATGGCAGTTTCGCTGATGATGGCCTCAGTCTTTATATTACTTTTCTCCAATATTCTCTGTTTTGTGTTCCGATAGCTGTACGTAGATTTTTTCGATTTCACACAGAGGAATTCTCTTCAGCGCTCTGCATCCTTGTTCATCCCTCGTCATCCTTGGTTAAATCGACTCAGAATTGTCCAAATATACAAAAAATATCTAAAAATGGATATTCAGCTGTTAGAAGGTGCGATTTAGAGCTTTTTTGGAAAAATAATGGCAAAAAGAAATAATGAACAAATTATACAAAAAGTTACGACAGTTTTATCTGGGAACGGTCCACAACTTTCGATGATGATGGCCTCATTCTTTACCACTATACCACGATGGCAACGATATAGAACAGGGGTCGAAATTTTTGTACTATACATTCGGAGTAGTAGATTTTGAAATTTACTATTCCGTCCGAAGATCCACTATTCCTTAATGTACTGTTTCAAAGAGCCTGTTTATGCAGGGTCTGCGCTAATGTTCTGATTTTCGTGAAATCATCCTTGAGACTGAATAATTGAATAACCAAAAATAAACATGCACAGTGCATTGCTCTGTAGAGTGATGAACAAATTATTAATAAAAAACAAAGTTCAAACACTGAAATGAACTTGCGAACTTTGTTGCCAAGTTCGCAAAGAACTTAGGAATCGCGCGTTGAAAAGTGACTTGAAATCGACAATAATATTGCTGCAAAGAAATTTGAATTCGCAAATTTCTACTACCCTTAGCCGTTATCCGTCTGAGAAAATTTCGGGCCGCAAATCGACAAATCTTTTTTTGTTATAGATCGACAGAGAAAGGTTCAAAACGCATATTGGTGCAGAACGTGTTGGCACAAGAGAGTTTTAAAGAGTATTTTGAGATGATTTTCTGAGTACAAGGCGCATGCAAATGAGCAATGCTAAGCCGTGCTAAGCCGTGCTAAGCCGTGCTAAGCCGTGCTAAGCCGTGCTAAGCCGTCTCATTTCGGGAAAATGAAAAAAAAAATTTTGTTATAGATCGACAGAGAAAGGTTCAAAACGCATATTGATGCAGAACGTTTTGGCACAAGAGAATTTTAAAGCGTATTTTAAGATGATTTTCTGAGTACAAGGCGCATGCAAATGAGCAATGCTAAGCCGTGCTAAGCCGTGCTAAGCCGTGCTAAGCCGTCTTTCATTTCGAGAAAATGAAAAAAAAAAAAATTCTTATAGATCGACAGAGAAAGGTTCAAAGCTCATATTGATGCAGACCGTTTTATAACAAGAGAATTTTAAAGCGTATTTTGAGATGATTTTCTGAGTACCAGGCGCATGCAAATGAGCAATGCTAAGCCGTGCTAAGCCGTGCTAAGCCGTCTTTCATTTCGGGAAAATGAAAAAAAAATTTTTGTTATAGATCGACAGAGACAGGTTCAAAATGCATATTGATGCCGAACGTTTTGGCACAAGAGAATTTTAAAGCGTATTTTGAGATGATTTTCTGAGCACAAGACGCATGCAAATGAGCAATGCTAAGCCGTGCTAAGCGTGCTAAGCCGTGCTAAGCCGTCTTTCATTTCGAGAAAATGAAAAAAAATAATTTTGTTATAGATCGACAGAGAAAGGTTCAAAACGCATATTGATGCAGACCGTTTTGGAACAAGATAATTTTAAAGCGTATTTTGGGATCATTTTCTGAGTACAAGGCGCATGCAAATGAGCAATGCTAAGCAATGCTAAGCCGTGCTAAGGCGTGCTAATCCGTGCTAAGCCGTCTTTCATTTCGGGAAAATGAAAAAAAAGTTTTGTTATAGATCGACAGCGAAAGGTTCAAAGCGCATATTGATGCAGACCGTTTTGGAACAAGAGAATTTTAAAGTGTATTTTGAGATGATTTTCTGAGTACCAGGCGCATGCAAATGAGCAATGCTAAACCGTGCTAAGTCGTGCTATCACTACGGCATCACTCCATCAGTGAACGACCTCAAAATCTTGTGAAATTATACAATATAGAATGATTACCTTAATCTCTTTGGGCCAGGTTCAAAATAGCCAGAATAAATAAAGAGGAAAAAATATTGTTAGTCCCCTACAAAACATGAGTTCAACAGCATTTGAACCCAAACGTTTATCGAGACAGGCCAAACGACCTACCACTAAGCCATCAGCGGACGACATGAAATTGCTGTAAAATTAAAAACAAAAGTACATTGTTGTGACCTGCTCATCTCATGAGGTGAAGAAATCTCTACAAGGCGGTGCTAAGTCGTGCTAAGCCGTCTTTCATTTCGGGCAAAATGAAAAAAAAAAATTTGTTATAGATCGACAGAGAAGGGTTCGGAACGCATATTGTTGCAGACCGTTTTGGCACAAGAGAATTTTAAAGCGTATTTTGAGATGATTTTGTGAGTACAAGGCGCATGCAAATGAGCAATGCAAAGCCGTGCAAAGCCGTGCTAAGCCTTGCTAAGCCGTCTTTCATTTCGGGCAAAATGAAAAAAATTTTTTTGTTATAGATCGACAGAGAAAGGTTCAAAACGCATATTGATGCGGAAAGTTTCGGCATAGGGGAATTTTAAAGCGCGTTTTGATATAAGAAATGCTAACCCGTCCTTCATTATACTTTGTACTACGCTAACCCGCTACTCGGATTCTTGAGTCAAGTAGGCTGAGTTTCTGTTGGAAAGTTTCGACCAAAGTTTGACTTACAAACATTTTTTGATATAAGTCGACTTGGGATGGTGTAGAACTACTTATTTGTGCAGAAACTTTTGGAACAGGGGAATTTTAAAGCACAGTTCGATATAAGAAATGCTAACCCGTCCTTCATTATACTTTGTAATTGGCTAACCCGCCACCCGAATTCTTGAGTCAAGTAGGCTGAGTTTCTGTTGGAAAGTTTCGACCAAAGTTTGACTTACAAACATTTTTTGATATAAGTCGACTTGGGATGGTGTAGAACTACTTATTCGTGCAGAAACTTTTGGAACTGGGGAATTTTAAAGCACAGTTTGATATAAGAAATGCTAACCCGTCCTTCATCATACTTTGTAATTGGCTAACCCGCCACCCGAATTCTTGAGTCAAGTAAGCTGCGTTTCTCTTGGAAAATTTCGACCAAAGTTTGACTTACAAACATATTTTGATATAAATCGACTTAAGATGGTTCTGATCTGCCTATTGGTGCAGAATGTTTTGGCATAGGGGAATTTTAAAGCGCATTTTGAGACAAGAAATGCTAACCCGTCCTTCATTATATTTTGTACTACGCTAACCCGCTACCCGGATTCTTGATCGAATGAACTAGAAACTAGGAGTTACTATCGCAAGGCGAGTGCTGCCTTTATAAACCAAAGTTTAACTTAGAAAATATCCGGCAAATCGAAAAAACATTTTTGATCTAGATCGACTTAGAAAGGTTCAAAACAGATATTGATGCAGAACGTTTTGGCACAAAAGAATTTTAAAGCGTATTTTAAGATGATTTTCTGACTACAAGGCGCATGCAAATGAGCAATGCTAATATAAGCCGTGCTAAGCCGTCTTTCATTTCGGGAAAATGAAGAAAAAAATTGTTGTAATAGATCGACAGAGAAAGGTTCAAAACGCATATTGATGCAGACCGTTTGGGAACAAGAGAATTTTAAAGCGTATTTTGAGATGATTTTGTGAGTACAAGGCGCATGCAAATGAGCAATGCTAACCCGTGCTAAGCCGTGCTAAGCCGTCTTTCATTTCGGGAAAATGAAAAAAAAAAATTTGTTTTAGATCGACAGAGAAAGGTTCAAAACGCATATTGATGCAGAATGTTTTGGCACAAGAGAATTTTAAAGCGTGTTTTGAGATGATTTTCTGAGCACAAGACGCATGCAAATGAGCAATGCTAAGCCGTGCTAAGCCGTCTTTCATTTCGGGAAAATGAAAAAAAAATTTTTGTTTTAGATCGACAGAGAAAGGTTCAAAACGCATATTGATGCAGAATGTTTTGGCACAAGAGAATCTTAAAGGGTATTTTGAGATGATTTTGTGAGTACAAGGCGCATGCAAATGAGCAATGCTAAACCGTGCTAAGCCGTCTTTCATTTCGGGCAAAATGAAAAAAAAATTTTGTTATAGATCGACAGAGAAAGGTTCAAAACGCATATTGATGCAGAACGTTTTGGCACAAGAGAATTTTAAAGCGTATTTTGAGATGATTTTCTGAGCACAAGACGCATGCAAATGAGCAATGCTAAGCCGTGCTAAGCCGTGCTAAGCCGTGCTAAGCCGTCTTTCATTTCGGGCTAAATGAAAAAAAATTATTTGTTATAGATCGACAGAGAAAGGGACAAAACGCATATTGGTGCAGAACGTTTTGGCACAAGAGAATTTTAAAGCGTATTTTGAGATGATTTTCTGAGCACAAGACGCATGCAAATGAGCAATGCTAAGCCGTGCTAAGCCGTCTTTCATTTCGGGCTAAATGAAAAAAAATTATTTGTTATAGATCGACAGAGAAAGATTAAAAACGCATATTGATGCAGAA